AATGTTTGTGGCATCGTGTTCGGCCCCGACCTCGCGAGCGACCGACTGTACTCATGCTCACGTGATAACACTATCAAAGTGTGGGAATTATCCACTGGCTACTGTGTGAACACGCTGAATGCTGGTCATACCGACTGGGTGCGCGACGTGGCGGTCAGTGATGACGGACTGTATTTGGCTTCCTGCGGTAACGACCGATCGATTTTGTTCTGGGACTTGCAGCACATGCGCGTGTTGCAGTCAATCCGTGAGCACGAGCATGTTGTGGAGAGTGTTGTGTTCGCCAAGACTGGACAGGAGCAGGTCATTGAGAAGACTCACTCCAAGAAGCTCGCAGCTACAGGGGCTCTCACTCCGGCCAATGGAATCGCCTCTCCAGAGTCCAACAACCATGATATGACCGACAGCACGGCTGGAGAACCCACCGGTGCTACCACTGTCGCTAGTGTTCCCACTGTCCGCCGCATGAAGTATCTGCTGTCTGGATCTCGTGATCGCTCTGTACGTCTATGGGAAGCCTTCAGCGGCATGCAACTGATGCTGTTTGCTAGTCACGAGAACTGGGTGCGAGAGGTTCGCTTCCACCCTAGCGGCAAGTATGCACTCAGTGCTGGTGAAGACAAGACCATCCGTGTCTTTGATGTTGACGTAAGTTTTGACTCGAATCAATGTGTTGGTGTTTTCTTTGTGGTGTGCTGACGAATTCTTAACGTCTACAGACTGGACGTTGCGTGCGGACGCTGGATGAAGCCCACAGCCATTTCGTGACGTGCCTTGACGTTCACCCGAGTCTCCCACTGATTATTTCGGGTGGCATTGACAAACTCATCAACGTTTGGGAATGTGTATAAAGATATCCAGAATAGGAACAGCTCTCCAATTTTTTGTCGAGCTGTCAACTTGAAGGGCACTATTAAGTAAAGCGAATGGGGCGGGGCAATGACAGTGGTATCAACGTAGCAGTTTTTGGTAGGCGATTAATATCGACAATTCGTGTTGCGTGGCGACCATCGTGCTTGGCTGATGGCTGGAGAGGAGTCGAGTAGGTAGATGGCAGTACTACGTACTACTGCGTACTTGTACAGTAGTAGTATAACGCTTTCCTGATGCATCTGGTTGGCATCATTTGTTGCGAGAGACACATCAACAAGATGCGAAGCCTCAGCGTAATTCTTGCCATACCAAGCAGACGTGAAAGCCCAACGAGCGTAGCGTATAACACACAACGGGGGCGTTTGTTCTCATCGAAATATTACCGCGAATTAAGTCGGCCTACGTCCCTATCCCTTTTTCCGGTCTCCCAAACCGTGACGAAGTGGTCGGAGTTCAAACGCTGTAGGTTGGTCGAAGCATGGGGTCTTCACGACATAAAAAGCAGACGATGATACATCACCCGGCGCCTGTCAACAGTCGACCGTACTGTGCTGTTCCTTCGCCGCCCCTGTCTGTCCTGTAGAAAGTGCCCACTGCTCCTAGTTCACAACTGCAGCTTAAGTGTAGGCTAACTCCGCTTATCTCAGGCGACGAGCCTCACGCTCCCACTCGAGTAGACACAGAATGTCACCCTCACGCACGGGTCCCTTGACGTTACGGATGATCTTACGCTTGTCGTCCTGCAGAAACTCGACGCGCACCTGGGTCACGTTACCCGTGTTACCCGTGCGTCCGAGGACGTTCACGACCTTAGCCAGCATGTAGTCACGAGGGGCATCCTGTTACATCCATCACTTCCAGTTAGTTAACCTTGCTCTCTCAGTATAATCACGCCCATTGCGGATCGCTCGATTTTAGCCTGTGGTTGCGCACGCTCTAGGCGTCCATGCTTGCGGCGATAGTCGGACAGGAAACACACGTGTCTGATGTGGACTTCTACCAGGCATGCATACTCCGACGTTCGCCGCACACACATGCCTAGATAGGACCTGCTCGCTTACCATTTTTGCGTTAGATGTCGATGAGGTTTTGCAGTAGTATGCGAGGAGTGGTGGAGTGGTGGGGCTGGCCCTGTTAACGACTGGCGGCGGGCGGTTGATCCGGATGGTTGCTCGAATGTTGCCCAAAGGGAAGAAGGAGAGCTGTTATCAAGCGCAATCATTTAAGCGCGCTTGAACTGGTTGTCATTATTATCCCCCATAGAAGTGACGTACATGCAGATAACGTCATTTGTAATTTACGTTGACCCGAACTTGATCTGCCATTGCTCATATCTCCTTCGTAGCTGCTGTGCCGATGGATTGGTTCTTTGTAGAGCTGCCAGTAGGTCCTCTGGCTGTACATGGCTCAGCATCTCCCTCCAGTCAGCGGCAGATGCGTCGCACCTTTGGTTGCTGCCTGCTGGCAAAGCTTCAGCGCTGATTGTGGCCTCCATCTTTTCAATTAGCCGACGTACGGGAGCCATACAAGCTTCTTTCGCTACTAGCTTAATATCAGCGCCAGAGTACCCTTCTGTCAGCTTCACAGCTTGGCCAAAGTCGAAGGTATTTGGGATATAGGGCTCCAGCAGCGAGGTGAACAGCGCCCGGCGAGCTTCCACCGATGGCAAATCTACTAGCACGCGCTTCTCGAGTCGTCGCAACATTGCCGCGTCAAGATCCCATGGCAAATTACTGGCTGCGAGCACGAAGACGACGTCACTGGTCTTGGCGAGCCCGTCCATTTGGATTAGCAGCTCAGTTTTCATGCGTCGACTTGCCTCGTGCTCTTGGCCTCCTCCTCCACCGTCTCGCTGGCCCATGATCGAGTCAATCTCGTCCAAAAAAATTGTTGACGGCGCATGATGTCGTGCCAACTCGAACAGCATTCGAATAAGCTTCTCCGAGTCGCCCCGGTACTTGCTAATGATTGACGAGGCAGAGATGTTGAAGAAAGTGGTTCGACACTCAGTTGCCACAGCCTTGGCCAGCATTGTCTTGCCATTTCCAGGTGGGCCATAGAGTAATATGCCAGTCCAGGGTGAGAGTAAGCCTTGAAATAACTGTGGATACTTAAGTGGCATGACGACAGCCTCTTTCAACAAACGCTTGGTCTCCTCCAAACCGATAACATCGTTCCATCGGATATCCGGGTTTTTCTGGAAGATCTCGCGTGTGATGGTCTCCGCTAAAGGTCGAAGTTCCGCGTCGTGAGAAAAAGAAGGCAAAGGCTTCAGAAGTCGCTCCTCAACGCTTTCTTCGTATTGCTGCTTATCAACGGGCTCGGATTTCTTGGAGTCGTCAGACTTGGAGTTACGGCTCCGGTTCTGCGCCGGGTTTTGTCCGACGAGGCCGAGATCGATAGCTGAATCATCTTCAGGAGACTGGTTCGCGTCTTTGTTAGTTCTTGTAGAACCAGATTGTGCTGCTATATTGTTAGCGTGGTTGCCATTGATGGGGACAGCTCGCATCGCAACATTGTTCGCCACTCGCGCCTCTGTTGGCATGTGTGGCGATGTGTAGTCATTACGGCGCAACCGTTTGGCAGAAGCTGCCGCTTTCATGTCGTTTCCAGATCGAGCTCTGTCCTGTACATCAGGCGACAATCGACGAACTAGTTTGGGGCGTTTACCAAACTTGATCTCTTGAAAGTCTTCGTACTCCTGTGAATATACTGTCAGCAAAAAATTTTGGTACCCGGTGAGCTGTGGATGTTCACGTACTTGCACGATACGCAGTAGATCAATGTTCTCAACAACTTCAAACTTGGATAGAGTGACACCTGCCTCTTGCTGGAGCTTCTCAGCTGTTTGCAGATACCCGTTCTCGGTGCAGTGTTGTTGCATCATGACGAGGACGTTCCTTCGACGATCTATCAGACGCTTCTCTTCCTACAACTGTATCAGTTAGACAAGCTCACTGTAGAACCGGAGCTGTAAAGTGTGTAGCATACCGCCAACCGGCTTTCGTTCTGCGCTTTCAGCTTCATTAGCGAGCTCATGATTAATCAAGACACGTTGGTTCATGGACGAGAGCTAATGGTTTTAAAATAGCTTCAACTCCACCAGTGAAACCCTGCGCCTTGAAGAGACGCAGACTTTGATTGATCAAATCATCTGGGGGGTGCAGATCGACGATGCAGAAACTTCACGATCATATTGAAGTTTTCGTGACGCAGCGTGAGCTACAACCGCAAGCTCGAAAGCTGGACGAGTCTAATGCTTCTGCCACCACGCTTCAGTCAGCACGTTGCGGAGAGCTCTGGTTTTGATGAGGTCACGTTTCAAGTGGGTTTTAGCGGGTCGGCCAGTGTTAAACTTCATGCAGGGCTCCCGGCCGGGAACCCTCCATTAGCATAAAAACGGCAATAGGCAGCTAGCATCAATACATACACTAGTCGAGCGCCGCCGCTACGCGGCGATAGTTAAGGTTTAATTCAAGTTGTTTGCCTTCCCGCCTCCGCTTCGCTTCGGGTAGATAATTATTCCAAAACCTATGAGTCCCTATGTGCCTAAATCGACTTCTTTAATCTCATAAATCTGGGTTTAGTTTAGATCATTCGCTACAAAATGCTGAGTTCCCAGTAAGCCGTGCAATTACAAAGCCCCTAGCATCATACTTACAATGTAAAAAAAGATTACCGCCTTACCCCTCTCATAACCGACGTTTTCTCATTGCCGACAGACCATATTAGCCAATAGAAACCTGAATGGAGTTCATATGTTGTGAGCTTCTGCCCGCACTAAAACGCTATACCGACACCGCTAAAACGGAGCTGACACCCACTTGTGATTCTGCTTCGTGTCGACATCGAACATCTTGTATTTCCAGGTCTGTTATGGGGCGTCAGTGCACCACTGGTACGGGTAAGAAACCAAAAACTTACAGCCGCACGTCATTTACCTACAAGCATAAGCTGGAAGTGCTTGTTTTTCTGGACGTAATTCATGACACTGGTAAAGCGATAGAGAAGTTTTATCCATCTGTGACTGACCAAGGAGAATGGAGAAAAAGGATGCAGCTTATATCGGACTGGAAGTCCTCATCGAACTGATGTGCTTACAAGGAAAGGGTTACTACGAAAGGGCGCGCAAACTTGGCGACGGTACCATTCTCCCGGACGGTGCAGAAGCGTACATCTCGATGTGGATCAGCTCGTTAAGGCGAGAAGGTTGTCCAGTCTCGGAGCAGATGCTGCATTTTAAGGCCCGTGAGGTAGCCGCTGACCGAGGCATTCCGTCGTCGTTGTTTAGCGCATCTCATTTCTTGGCGGAGGGGTTTTAGGCGGCGCAACCCGGTTCTCCATTCGCGCTAAAACCCGCCAGGGTCAAACGACACCCGAAGATGCACAGTTGAAGGCGGAAGAGTTTAAAAAAGAGGTGAAAGAGCTGATTCTCGAGCACAACATCACTACAGTGCTGAATGCGGATCAGACAGCGGTGGTTCTACGAGTACTTGCCTACAAAAACGATCAATGGAGAGAACGACCTGGATTAAATGTGCTGGCAAGGATAAGGAGAGAGCGACAGTTATGCTACTGGCAGACTGGCACGGCGACAAATACCCCCCAATAATCATCTTCAAAGCGAAGGATGCAAAAAATAAGTGCAGACAACGCAGCAGCGAGATGAACCAGCACGGCTTTGGGCCAGTTTTGTGGCCCAAAATGGATGCTCTTCAGACGCAGCATCAGTGCCAGAACTATGGCAATTCAGCTGCATGGTGGAATTCGCAGATCTCTCTCCGTTTCTTGGAGTATCACTTCGCAAACCGCCCCAACATAGAAGACAAGATGCTGCTACTCTGGGACGACTTCTCGGGGCACTGGACCCCAGAAGTCGTAGAGTATGCAGCATCTATCAACATTGTGCTGCATAAAGTACCACCACGATACACTTACGTCTGCCAGCCAGCAGACGTAGCGTGGAATCACCCGTTCAAGAGTAAATTGCGCAAGTTTTGGGTCGGCCGACTACGACAGCAAGTCGCAGATCATCACGCTCTTGAAGTGAGTCGGGCAGCGCAGCGTCTTGGGATCACGGCCCGTACTAATACTGCGTTTCGATTGGAGATGCAAGACGTAGCTCGAGAACGCGTCGCAGACATTCAGCGGGAGGCACCGAGTTCTGTCTTTCGGGTTACTCCTCCTGATAGAAATGATATTGTGTCGTGGGTCTGTACAAGCTGGAACAGCTTGACGGCATCTATCATTGTAGGGGGGTTTGCTCGAGTTGGTATTCTTGGTGATACACGGGTACATGAAGACGAAGGTGATGAAGCTAATGATGAGATTCCTGCTCTGGTCAAGGAGCTGAAGAAATTGGGGGTGGTGCGAGAAGAGCAGGACCTTACGCGCGATGAAGATGAGGACTAGATAAAGCTTTGTGTGGTCGCATCTAAATCGTAGTAAGATTCCCTTACCCCATTACACATACTTACTATCACCACAATCCCCCATGTCGGCAATGACAGGGGTGTTGCGGTATTCTACATGTAGTGATCTTGACACAGTATCTTTATTATTGTTGGCTATCACTGTCAGAACTACCTGCACTTCAAATAGCATGTCTACAAACGCCAAACAGTATATTTAGCTTTGCGTCGTGCTCGATATCACGGGCCGTTTCGAGCCGCTATGAAACTTAGCTCACATCAGCGCAAACGATAGTAATGGCCTGTCCAGCTTGCACTATTTGTTACCTGCTTGTACTGCCTATTTCAGCTGGTAAGTAACTAAAGATTGTTCACTTCCCATGTCAAACTCAATGAAAGCTAAACAATATTTAAATTGTACTATTTTGAATATATGTAGCGTTCATTTTGTGCTGATTCAGAATTAGAACTCGAATCTGGCCAGTTATGATTAAAGCATTTGGATATCAAGACGCCTTGCTGCTGCTGCTGTTGACGGTAGTGTTTTCTATTTAATAATTTACCGATGATTCCAGGATTATTGGACGTCATTTAGGCTCCAAGTTTACTAATGTTTCTTTATGGGGTCTACTTAAACAACTATAATTCAAACCTCTCGTGTTTTGTTGTTGTCTTGCCCCTCCTTTTAAAATTGTATCCTACTGTAATAGTGGTCGACCAGCTGGCTTCCGTAGCAAGTGCAACGGAGGCAGCTCCCGGAAGATTAAGGAAACGGGCGGACGGATATGGTAGGCAGTAGGAAGAGGTGAGTTGTACCTTGAAGTCTCTCACGAAGGCTGGCGATGGCTGCCAGAGTGATGAGCCGACAAGGATTCGGTAGGAATTGGACGGACGGACGGGAGCGAAGAGGCTGGCGCACTTGAGATTTGGCTGTCTACTAGTCAAGTCGGACAACCTGTGACGTTGGAGAGCGTCACCTTGGAGCGACCGAGTGCAAAGCGGACGGTGTCTACTGAAACGTTCTACTAGTAGTTCCCGGACGCGGAGTGCAAATTGGGCGGAGTTCAACGCCAGCAGAGTCTGCCGAAACGTTCTACTGGCAGTGGCTGTAGGCTTAGGACTAAACGAAAAATAAAGTAGGTGCTGTCACCAGTCGGGTGCACACCGGCGCGGGTACATGGATTGTACTCGTCGGCCTGTAGGACTTTGGACTTTCGTTATCAGTACTGTCGACCAAACCTCGGCGAGCAGGGGATTCTATTAGCCTCGTTACATGGTGGTTCATACAAGGGGCTAATACAAGGACACGAACGATATCAACAAGTACAACGACCCTTACGTGAGCGGCGAAGCGTTCGAGTGATGGCGGGGAGCAGAAAAACGGCGGCACCGGGAGGAATGACCACACGATCAAGACGAGCGTCGGGTGCATCACGCACAACTACGACGCAGAAGCCTTCAACGAGAGATTCAACGAGACGAGAGACAGCGACAGCAACGACGAATGCGGAGACCACTGGCAGAGCAAGAAGCGAGCCCCGACAAGGGCATGCGGCAGACGCAGCAACAGGAAGCAGCGGAGACGCAGCACTACTAACTGCACTTAACCGGATGATGAGCACCGTGGCAAACTTGGAATCGAGGATAGCTGGTATGGAGAGACCGCAACCTACAACGCAAACGACAGAAGCAGCACGGCGGGCACCACGAAGAACGTTCAGGGTACCCGAAGGACCGAGGGACTCGCTATCACCACACGGCATAAGGCAAGTACCGGAGGTGCCAGACTCCGTAACGGCGGGACAAGCTTCGAGAACGAGAACAGCGACAAGGACATCGAGTGGGGCGCGACCAGACGGAAGTGACGATAGCAGCAGTAGTAGTAGCGAAAGTGATGACGGAGAGTATGGGGCAAGCTACTCCTCCGGCGACGATGGAAACGAGGATAGTACGAGTGACCAGCGATCGAACAGCGGCAAACACCGACGACGTCGACGACGCAGAGCGGCACGGGCGGAAGAAGGTAGACGACGAAGACGACGAGAGCGTAGAAGCAAGCGCAGGAATCCTAAGGACTTAGAACTGACTGCGTATAAGCCATCACCGACAGTATCGGTGTCTACTTGGATTGCTAAGGTGGACCTGGCAGTGGAAGGTTCACGAATCTCGGGGCGGGCGGACTGGACGGACGAGGAACTCTACTACATTGTGGGCAACAAGTTGGTGGACGACGCAGCAACATGGTGGGTCCAAATGGACCAAGAACTGGCAGGCACCGACAAGACCTGGACGAGACTTAAATCGGCGCTGATACGGCGATACGGCGAGCGACCGGATCAAGCAATGGCGGAATGGCGAGTGTATCAGAGGATGATGTACCCTAGCAAAACGTTTGCAGACTTTGCAGCGGGGCTACGAGTAGCGACCGGTCCAAATCATGTGAGCGAGCGAGCGTTGTTAGCCCAGTTCTACAAAAACTTGGACAAAACTACGAGAATGCTGGTGAAACAAGAACCTGTGCCAATGACGCTGGAGCAGGCAGTAGATAAGGCTACAGCAATCGATGATCCCATGGATAGCGTAGCGCAAGGAATGATAAATATTGGCCAAGCTTGGGCAACGGCACCG